ACTGAACCCTATGTTACTACTTAAAGCAGACTTTTTTTTTGTAATAGTTCAGACACCATCGGGGGGACTGTACATATATATTTATATATGCTACAGAACTTGTGTGTGTATATACAGACAGATTGGTATGTAAAATACTGTACTTTATTTAAGCAAAACATAAACCAAACCACCATGTAATCCATTTAATTTAAAAAGAAAACACTAACTGTAACATTTATCTAAATAATCTGTTTAATTTATTTTTATTGTTTCATATTGTTAGTGTTGAATTTTTACCTTTCTTTGTAGTGTTGTCAAGTTAACAAGAAGGTAAAAAAAACCCTACAAACTCAAACAAGGCTATTTTTCTGTGACTGTGACATGAACTGACTGTGCTGTGTGAAAATGTCTGATTTGCCATGCTTCTTGTTTTCTTTTTACTTCAGGGTAAGTGTTGTAATTTTGAATTATAATTGGGTCACAAAAATGATATGTCCTATGCTCTGTGAGTTTTTTTGTCTGTGTTGTGTATTTTTAACCAATACTCCCAATGGTAAATTCTCAATCATTTAGCAGTGCTGGGATCATCCTTTTGTGTGTTTCCAGGCTGTGTTGAGGTGCTGTCATAGCATTTAAATGAGCATTTTGCTTCAGAGTGAATGAAGAGTTTTTGTCAGCCTCCACTCATCGTGGATGATTAGAGAAAAATGTCCACCCATCTTGACTGGAGATCACCACAGCTCCAGATAACATGCCCGGTGATTGAAGGTCGCAATATTTTGAATTCTAATGGGCCTGCAAGATGAATTGCCTGAAATAGACTGCAGAATCTTCTTGCTTCCTCCTCATGCCCCCCTTGCCTGTCCGCTGTGAAAAGAACCATTGGGAATGGCAAGGCCCGATGATCATAGAATTATTGGATGGTGATTCTACACCCTTCAAAAGGGAGTTGCTATGGAGATCTCTTTCCAAACTGTGAAATGATTCACCTTTGAAAGGCTGGAGGGCCTGAAAGCTGAACACATCATTGTTCAGGTGGCGGTTGGTTAGGAAATTGCTGGTGTCTGTGCAATCAGCAGCACTATAGTAGTTAGGGATCTGAAAAGGTTTGTTCTCTGAATGATGTGGGACAACAGTGGTCTGCATATGACAGTTGCTTTCAATCAAGGCACTCTCATGCTAAGTGGTTTAACCAAATAAATGTGCTGACAGGGGTTAAGCTAATGATAAGGGAATTAATACTGCTGATTTTTCTCTGCGCTCAGTTCAGACAACCGCAGACTTCCTATGACTTTCAGCTTTGAGTTTCACACAGGTCATACTTGTTGGAACACCTTACCCCTACATATAGTTTTTTTTTTCTTCTAATGTCAATTGAAGTTGAAAGATGCACCATTAGAGCTCAGATAGGTATGAGACAAGCTGGCTGTCAGTAGATTACATATGAATTGGTGACACCTCATACGGTGCTTGAATTCATGCTATCATGCACTGTGATTTTACTGTGATCTATTTTGAAAGATGGGATCATAGAGAAACATGAGAGTGTCTCTTATGTCTCTAACCCACCATTTCCATGTGCCAAACAGCTTTTTAGCATCCAATATATTTGCCATAATTGACATTCGCAGAGAAACAAGGCTGAACATTCTACAAACTCTGTTACAGGAGCAGTGCACTACAAATTGCTTTCAATTTCACATATCCAAAAAATGAATGTCAAGAAGATAAATTCTGAATGAACATAAATACCCTTATGTGTTTTGCTTGTGTTCTTGTGCTGGGAAGACATCCATAATGTGCTTTCCTTGACAGACTCATAAAATAGCTTTTACTGCTCTGAATACCAGGAGAATTGCGGCACTGAGTTTGCATGAACATTTTAAAAGCAGCGTCAGGAATGCAGGTCCTTTAGATGTGCTCTTACCCATCTTGCATGTGAAAACATGCACAGGAAGTAAGAAGTCAATGAATACTGTAATTTGACAGAATTATGTTGACCACATATCCTCCCAGGTAGCAACTTCAGAGCAGGCAGCTCAATCAGTATTGATCTTGACTTGACTCAAATAGCAGCCTTGTCTGCCCTGTACCTTATACAGAAGTAATGATATAAGCAGACTCAAGCTTGCCTGATCTTTTCGCTGTTAAACTCTTACAAACTGAGATGAGAAAGTAATGTTTAGAAAAAAACTGAAGTTAACATTTATGTGCTGAAGTTAATCTAAATATATGTTCCTCGTTTTTCCTCTTTTTTGTAAATGTCAGTTCAAGTTATGTCTTCTACACCTGCTTAAAGGGCTGCTGTGTTGCACAGCTTAGCCTGATCCCTAATCAGGCCATTGAACACCACTCTCCCTCTAGAGACTAATCCTATTGTTCTGTTAGTTGAAGAGCACCTGTTAATAGTGTCTTCATACACATCTACATGCACTGTTTAAACAGTGAAGCTGTAAAAACTGAGGAGAGAGACACACCTGACTCCTAAAATGGTCCTTTCCGTGCTCTTCCCTCTTTTTAGTGTGTCTCTTTATTGTCTTACATGTGTCTTTGTGTGGTGCCGCAATTTCATAAGGACTGTCTTCACAATGCCCTACCCCGACCCTGCTTTTAAAGGAGTAATTGTGCAGATTGCCCCATCAGATTTCCCTCCCCTTTTTCTCCTCATGCATTTCTGTCCAGTTCTAAGCCTTGAAAGGGGAAGGTAGTAAAGAATATGTGAATGTTAAATTAGGCGAAATGAATTGAGGCAAATTACTCTGGAATGAGAGGCCTAAATAGTGAGTGATCAGCTGCGCTTGCTCTTTGAAAGCCTGCTCAGATTTGGACTTTATTCTTATGGTGATATTTAATACAGATTTAAAAAAGGGGTTTTTAAGCATGAAAATATTTTATGGACCATTTTCTTAGAACAGACACCCCCTAAACCAAACAGCAGAGTTTTTGTATTTTCTATTTGAAACGTATTGTATCAAAACTGTACATCATAATTGTCTGTAATGTATGTATATTCTTGCGGCTCACAAAATGATTACTTTGCATTATATTTTCTGGGTTCATGCAGACACAATAGCAAATTTTCATTCCAATCAGTGCTGAACAGGGAGCTGCTAAATTGGAGCAGCAAAACAATAATTCCACTGATTAGCCCCTTTCTGTGTGGCGTAAGTGAACTGTTTATACTGTGGAGTACCTCTGCAAGAGGAGAGGAACCAAAACAGCCTGATTAGGCAAAGAGTAATTGAATAAGTTCATTTCACCATGAGGACAACGCACAGGATGACAGCTTGCAAAAAAGTCTACAGATTCTGTTGACTTGCATGAGTGATAAGGTGTGGGATGGTTGGTTTTCATTTTGTTGTCAAGCTAGGTTCTAAAAGCCTAGTGCACTCTCATGAATCTTCTTTTCTCAGCGTAATCCGGTAAGAGAGATGATTCTCTATAGAGGAAGATATGCAAAGTCAATAACTCCCAAAAGCTCACGAGGAAAGGGTTAACTGGAATAACTTACATGATCTTTTACTTTTGAAAAAGAAAAACTGTTTCTGAAAAAAAAACTGCTTGCAAATTAGTTCTTCATATCACCGTGGATCCAATTCTCATATTCAAGAGTTTATGGTATATAAAAAGTTTGGTCTTTGCTACGTAGGGAAACTTCACCATTGTTACAGGGGAGTGTAAAGGGAATTTTCAAAATTGGATTTGGTGTAAATGTGAATTTAATGGGTTAATGGATCAAAGTTGTACATTAGCTGGTGTTCACATGATGCATGTCTCACTGACAGACATTTTCATACATCAAAAGGACATCAGTTTGGTTGATAGAATCAAACAATTTTGCTGCCAAGACCAAATAAACATTTCTATTAAGTGATCTAATGAGTTCAATCGCGATGAATTGTTTGCTAAGATTTCCTTTAATCTCAAGCATGCGGTTACCCACCATGACAGCTACAAACAGCTGTGAATCATCGCTATATTCTGCATGTGTCACTGTTGGAACTTGCTGATGTTTTGAGGCAGGGCCTCACCTGTCACCAGCTCTCCATGCACTCAGGTGTCAACACAGGAATAAGAATTCAGTTACTGCACTGTTCACATTCCAATCACTGTGTACCTTGACTGTGTGGGAGTTAAAGACAAATCATGATACACCTGACATCCATTTCTTTATTAGATAAGATCCCAGGAGTACATTCCAAATACAGGATATTTTAAAAACACAGTATATTAACTTTAATAGCAAATTATGTTTGATGATCTTGGAATATATCTTAGAGTTTTGTGGTGCAATTTTTCTGAATTTTTCTGATACTTTAACTGCATTTACTTGACTAATTTCGCTCAGGTAAAATCTACAAACACAAAGCAGGAGTTACTAAAATTGATGTTCCCATACTGAAGTGTCTCTGATATGCTATTATCCTTTCTATTTAAAGAGGTAAATAAAATAGAAACATTACACTTTATCCAAGTCATCAGGTTTCCTAAATTATACAACACATTACATTAGCATTCAACAGTCCACTACAGTTGCCACTAATAATGTTGAAGGGTGTCACTCTCATGTGGCAGATGTACGCTGGTACCCCCCTTCCACTCCTCCTCCCACCCCTGCAGTAGAGTAAGGAGTCCTGAGAGCCGGTCTGCTTCAGAGCCTCATTTCCTAATCACCAGCACAGCCACGGTTAAGATGCAAATGATCAAAAGAAGAATGTCCTCTTCATTTATGAATAATGTTTTTAAATGTACTCATACTTTTGTGTCATACTTTTAACTTAAGCAGAGAATGCATGGCCAGACTTTCTGTACGTCAGACAAACCGGTTTTGTTGCACTTAAAGCCGGTTAATGGAACTTACTTTGACACTTCAAAGTGGTTTCACACATTTCTGACACTTGCACAGTAAAAAAAAAGAAAAAGAAAGAAGCATAAGATGTATTTTCTGAGCAAATGATTGTATTTGTTATGACTTTGCAGCAACTCCCACTGTGCTTTTTCATGCGATGTTTATATTCGCCACATTCTCAGCCAAAGCTAATGATTTTTCTGTGCTGAATCTTATCACTGTTTCATATTTGATTCCACAAAGTCAATGTCATTGATTTTGTTACTCTGATTCTGTGGTCTATGTCATATGCATTCACTGAAGCTGTTGGCGGATGAAAATCTTTACTCCTTTTTCTACCCTTTGTTTGTGTCCTGTCCCTGCAGGTGCTTTCGAGGATGAGGATATCATCCATGTTGAGGGGACAGTGGACCCAGTGAGAGATATGGAGATCATCCACGAGGAGCTGAGGCTGAAGGATGAGGAGATGATCGGGCCTATTATTGACAAGCTGGAGAAGACGGCCATTAGAGGCGGTGACAAGAAACTCAAACCAGAATATGTGAGTCAATGTCCCAGCAGGCCCTTTGCTCCCCCTCACAGCACGGCACAAATAATAACCATCCCACACACATGGCCACGGAGAAAAAAAAGTATGTTTTTTTTAATCTCCCTCCAATAGGTCTCCCCCCTCCCCCTGGCCCATTTTTTTCCCTCTCTGAGATTGAAAGTGATCAGAGGTCAGGGGTTTTCTGCTGTAGAAATCATTAATAGAGAGTTACTTATTCAGCTGCCGACCCTGGGTCACAGCACTGGGCTAATGAAAGTGTTTCCACACAGCTCTATTCATCTAAAGTAATACTCAAATCTTGGCTGCAGCTCTTGCTCATGCTTATACTCCTACAGCAGCTTGGGAAATTGTTTAAGGCCATACAGTGGGTGACACATATGGCTATGCCTCGCAATGAATACCGTAAATGTTTAGAATATTTCTTGACAGAATATCATTTCTTGGCAGTCGGAGGTGCACGGCAAAATGCAGGGTACACTGAGGAAGGAAAAATCCACATCCTAGGTGTAAGATCAAAATATATGTGCATTTACAGGCATGCAGATGGTTATATTGTTACGGTAATGAGGCTGTGAGGCCAACCTCAGCAATGATGTGGTTACAAATGTCAGATGATGCACCTCCATCGCCGGTGCGGGATAGGATGGGCCGGCACACGAGGAGGGTCTGGCCTTTCGCTTGGAGCGGCGTGCCCAATTTCAGGCCCCGACACACCGGGGCTATGACCACTCATTACACTAACGAGAGGGGCTATTTCACCTGCTGCAGACGCCCTTGCGACTGGTGGGTTCCCTTCAGACGCCCCCCAGCCCCCAGCCCCCACTGGCTTTACAGCCGGTCGTCCCACAGACAGCAGCCATTCAGACTAGGCAGGTGGCCGCTTACACCCTTAATTGCTAACAATTTTAGGCAATGAATAAAAAATAATCTACATTACTTGTCAAAGGTTGTGCACGCGTCAGCAAGTGAGAATCTATAGAAGACTTCTTTAGATGGCAAAGAATGGTAACTATCAAAGGAAAGCAGTAAGCTTTTAGATGGGGAAGTGGGGGGGGGGGCTGCTGTGTGATTGTCTCACAGCCGGAGTCTTGAGTTTGACATGCTCAGCTGTGCTCAAGCTCGCATACTTATTTAAGTCAGCACTGAAGATTTACAGTGTCATACAGTAACAGTGAAACTGTCTTGACAGTCATACAGAATTTTTTTTTTAAATGTACATATGATCATCCAAATATTAATCTTTAATAACTTTGATAAACCTTTGAAATAAGATTCATGTACTGTGGTATCATGAGACTGATTTCACTCCAGTGGATCTAAAGATTTAATCAAATGTGGCATAAATGTCTCCTTTTTAATTATGATGTTGATAAGGTTGATTTGACGCGATACAAGTTATATACTTTCCCAAATGACACAAAAATTGATATTAAGTTGTTCCCTTCAAAAATCATTGGATTAATATTAATGATAAAGCTTTGAAAGACTAAAGCTGAACATTTGTAGTATGTCACTCAGTTGAGAGTTTATTTTTTAAATTCTTTCTGCATAAACAAGATGTAAAAGAAAAATCAAAAGCCTGGAAAGATGATTAATACTGTACGCGTTAGAAGCATGAGGTTTGCTTTAAAGTAAACAAAAAAAGCTAAGCTGAAAGATTTCACACTGCTGATCAGTAAATTCACCGCTGACAATTATGATACTTGAATAAATAAGAAATTTGAAAATTGATATATGTTTAAAATTTTCAAAAATGAATAAAAAACATTGCTGATTATTTTTGTGAGCTGAAACTAAATGTGCGTGCAGCCACACCGAGCTGATGTGTATGCATTGTTGTAAAATCCATTTTGCTGGAGCTGTATTTACAAGAACAATGTTTCATTGCTTTTGTCCACACGAATCCTCAAAATCCCTATCCTTACAAAACAATAACAAGAAACCGGCCCACCAGCGGCGCTTCATGGTGGCAAGCGTATGTGTTTGACCCCTGTGGGACCTATATGCCTTTTATTAACACCTGCCTGTTAGAGGAGCGCGGCACGGTGGCTGCGAGCTGATGAGGGAAACCTGGAGCGGGTTCAGCCTGTGTCACCGGCCGTTTGCTGTTTCCATTTCACAGATGATTAATCTCTCTGTGAAGACTTGGGCCGGCGCGGGCAGAGTGTATGCAGCTCTTCCTGCGCTCTCTCCCGCTGGCTGCACTCTGGCTGCCTGACTAAAAGGCCTTTAGAATTCCTGTGGAGAGAGATGTGCAGAGAGTGAATGCAGCTGGCTGGGGGTCAGTGTGTGGAGCTTTTTCTGCCATTGTGTAATTGAGGCTCTGGCAGGATTTTTTTCCTCAGTTCTTTCAAAAGAGAGTATGATTGTGAAGTGCTGCAAGGGTTTGGGGAGGGAAAAGGAGGTAGGGGGAGTGTTGCAGGGGGTGGGGGAGTTTTTATATGAAGGGGGAGGTCAAGTTGACAGGAACAAAAAGAATGTGTTCCGCTAATTTCTGTGGGGCTGGATCAACAATAATAGGCTCAATTTCTTTATTACAAATTTTATAACTACCTCCCTCCCATTTTCCCACCCTTTTCCGCTTCCAGATCCTGTCAAGACCCAGTCTTGCCTGTGGTCTCAACCCACAAGTACGTCAGTAATGAATGTGGCATATGTAGCTGGAAATGCTCAATATTTTCAGAAACAGTGAATAATTAGCTCTGTACCTCACTCGTACTCATTCAGTATGGTTGTATTCAGAAAAGTGCCTGAGGAAGGACCTATAATTTACACCTTACTAACCAACTTCCAATTAGTTCCCCGCTTTTTCCAATTTTGTCTCCACTCACAATCCTTTTCATTAAACAGTCCCGGTGGAATATGGATGTATGAAGCCGAGACTCAGAGAGGCACCCCAGAAGGCATTTTGTCAGGATTTAAGGAAGGGAAGGGGGTCTTGTTCATGCCATCTCTGTCAAAGCCAGGCCACTCCTGCCTGAATGCGAGCAAAAGCCATTGTTCATTTTGGCATCAGGATGCCATGCATTTAGGAAATAATTACCACATACCCTGCTGGGTTTATTCTTTTTCATCTCCTTTAATGGCTTCTTGTTCATTCTATTTCAACCCCAAACAGGACGTTATGTGCAAAATAAAGAGCTGGGTAGTGGATGAAAAGAAGCACGTCCGCTTCTACCATGACTGGAACGACAAGGAGGTAAGACTTTAATGTTACTGTCAAATTCGTCTTAGTAATTCATCTAACTAATCTTTTCAGTCTGAAAATATAACAGCTGTTTCCTTCTTCTTTGAGCAGAACAAATCACAAGTTAATATTATGCAAAGCCTTTTTTGGGGGGTGGGCTATTTTGACATTATTTTTCATGGAAGCTAGCAACATTTGGCCATGTTGATCTTTATTTAAAGGCTTCATAGCTGCTTCCCACAGTGCTCGTGATTTCATTTGGCTTCATTCGTCTCTGTCTGTGCTGTCCTCAAAGGCCACTTTGGAACATTGCTGATTCTCAGAACTTGCCTCTTCCTTTTTTTTACAGATCGAAGTGCTGAACAAATACTTGTTTTTGACGTCCAAACCAATGATCTACCTCGTTAATCTGTCTGAGAAAGACTACATAAGGAAAAAAAACAAATGGTGAGTGCTCAGAGGATCACAACCACAGAGCTTGCCTTCTACTTATGGAAGGAGTTAACATTAATCTTGACAAACTTTGACAAAACTCGCAGTTGGCTGCTAAACCTGTGTGTGCCTGCCCCTGTGTTTTCACATGCTGGTACGTGAGACTGGCTGTGGTCTCCTGCTGGCAGGAACGGTCATATCTTCGTGAGAAGATCTGCCTGGAGGTGGCACTAAGTAAACTCTTAACACAACATCAAGCCCTGCAAATCCCAACCAGCCCCCAGACTCTGCACTTCATTAGGCACACACAAGCATATGGTCTTCATTTTCCATCAAAATCTCTCATATCCATATGATATCAAAGAGAAGGAGGGCCTTCAATGCCACACTAGTGATTAATTTATTCCTGAGGCAACCAGTGATTCACAATGGCACATATCATCTTAAATGCTTTGCTCCAGATATTTGGTTTTGTCTTTACATGTTGTCGTTCTTGCTTTAAAAGTGTAATTTAACATTCATGTAACTCCCACATCCACCCATGCCACTGAGCTGTCTTGAAAAGTTGAGACATATTCTTTGTAAATCTTATATTGCTTGTTTCTTTATGTAAATTCATAAGGTGTACTCAGCTAAGCCCTGAGCACTAATGCAAATTCTTTCTGAATTTCTGCCTCTGAGATCCTCTTCCCAGCTGCAAACACATTTTACAGAAATGTTGTCATCTGGTCGCAGTGAGAGCAGATTTAAAGGGCTGGTGTTAGACATCCATTATATCTTAGAGGGCTACTTTTCCACACTACAGCTGTTTCGTCAATAAACCCAACATGTGGATTGTTATCACACTTTTCCAATTGCCCCCGAGACTTGTGGTGTCACTTTTTCACCAAATTTGTATTTATCGCTTTACTCGGCAGCATTGTATTACAAGAGAAGTTGTTTACCTACGACTGTTTGTTAAAATGTGTCTGTCATAAAAGTACAAGTGTCAGAGGGAGGGAGGAGGAAAAGCTCATAAATCAAATGATTCATGGCAATGGAAACATCCGTCATAAGCAGGAAAGAGGTTTTTTTCCTGTTGTGTGTGTGCTTGTGTGAGTGTTTGTTTTTTTTACTGTGTGAAATGCCATAAATCTGAGTAGCGTTTCAAACAGGCAAACAGTAGTGCTCAGGTGTCCTGAGGGCTCTGCGATGAACAATGCCAACATCAAAGTGTTTATGTTTGACAAGTGATGAGTCACTTCCCCTGTCCAGAGAGGAGCTCACACCTGTATGGAGATGATTACAGGTAGATCTAGCTGTCCCTAATTGTACAATAAATGCTGCTCTCAGCCCTAATGGCAGCTAGTCTGCTGCAGAGACGCCAGACTGCCATTTGGCTGTCGCCATGCTCCCGTGTTTTTCCACCAGCACAGTTGAGATGATGATACAGTTAAGAACTATTCAAAGCAAACAGCAAGACCAATCGCAATCTCAGCCTTAATGCATTGAGGAAACGACAGTGAATCACAGAATTAGCCAAATAAGCCAATTCTTTTTGTACCTCTCGGGACACCTTTTTCAGGTGATTTTTTTATACCCAAATCCTTTTTATTTCTGAAACTGCTTTATGTTTGAGCGTATGTTGCCCCGCAAGGGTTTGATCAATTTGAAAAACTTGAAACAAAACATTTATTTTTGTTCATGTTTTTATACCTAAGTTGACTTTATTACGTGTAAAGAGCGAGTTATGAGTTACACCATTTTCCAGCATATTTTAGAACACGGCAATAATTGCATCCTTATCAAACATTGTGGGTCTTCAAAACCAGCTAAGATCATCCTATTTGGAGTATGGGAACCACATACCAAGCTGCCCTTGTTTAGACAAGAATACACAGTATTAGCTTTAGCAAGCCATCATTAATGGAGGGATCAGACGAGGAGCAAGGCCTCCTTTCATCCTCAGGTTCTCTGCTGGAGACAGAACATCATTTACTGTTGAGAGGAGCACATGGCTCCAATCCTATACAGTGCATGTGTATGAGAATGCGTACATGTGCATGTTTGAAGTCTGTTTCAGAGGCGACTCCATGCTCATTTGGATGCTGGTGTAATTGCGGTGTGGAGATCAAAGGCGTGCTGGCCGAGTGATGTTCCAGAGGAGACTTTACCACACAACCCTCTCCTCTGTGCAGAGGGGGCCGCCTGCTGCTCACCGCTCCCCTCTCCCCTCCAGCCATGCACTGCCCCCTGCACATCCCCGCTCGTAAAAAATGATTAAGGCTGCATTTGTCATGTGTTTATGACTGAGAGGCATTGCGTGATAGGGAATGGCATCTACAAGAGTCTGTCAAGAGGCTTTCTCCTCTTTCCACAGCGTCAGTGAGCTGCCGGGAAGATTTTCCCCTGCTACATGTCGTAGTCGGTTGGGTAGAGAAGGTCTCTCCAGCACTGATGACGGTGTGGTGGCTGCATTCTGCCTAGTGCATCGTTCACTTGACATCCAAGATTTAGCTAAATTTACCACCCTGAAGCGTCACTGTTTTAAAAGTCTTTATGTCATTTAATAGGTTTGATTTCAGACATTTATTTAATCCTCCTCAGAGAACAAAGAGCAGGCATATTTTCTAATGGCAAAAGACACACTTGAGAATATTTCAGCTATATGCTGTGATGTATTTTTTTTTCCTTGACATCTGCTTTTTCTGTTTTTTTTCTTCTTTTGGACAATGTGCATTAAAGTAAATTGGTGCCTCTTAAGTAGATGAGTTGACCTTTAAGGAAACCAGCAAGCGTGACCTGTCTGTGAGTGCCTCTGCCGAGTGGGTTTTTCTGGTGAGTGTAAGAACCGCAGGGTACCATTTCTTGGAGCTTTTATTAACTCTGTTGGTCTGGGTCTGTTTGTCTTTCTCCCTGTATACAGGTGTGTGAGTATGGTATAGGTTTGAGCATGTGTACTTCTCTCTTTAATTTGTGTGAACTTATTGTTACTAAGTGTCAGACTTATTTTATACTTTGCCTCTTTGAACATTATTTGCCTTGCAGTCTGTGTTGCATTAGGTAGTTGCATCTTAGTGTTATTCATGTTTTGTGCCAGGAAGCCACAGTAGTTACACACTGCAGCTGCTCTTCCAGTCAGGCTTTCTTTAATTGAATGCATGATTCATTTTAAAGTATTTTTTCCCAATATATTACCCTGTCACAGTGCTATTCGGAACATTTTCTCCCGCCTTTACACTCTCATAAGCTATTTAAGACATCTGTTGTGTTGAAATGACGGTGAGTAACCGATGTGCATCTTTTTGTTTTTATTATTCACATCGCCTCAATTTCTGTGAACTGATTGCTGGGCCTTTATGATCTTTAATATTTTTTATAAGTTCAAAGAGAAGCCTAAAACATGTCATTTTTGTCAACGTTTTTTGCAAAGAATACAACAATAAATCAGTGCTGAGTGTTTCTCACTATTGCTATCTCAGGTAACCATTGCATTTTTTAACATGAATAAACTGTACATTTTTTAAAGCCCTATGTATGAAACCCTGTTAGTGCTTACCCTGCAGCGAATTTAGTTTACCACAGTCTCTGTTAGGATATTTCTGTATACCTATTATAGGTTGGTTATTACATATTAGATATTTACATATTATTAAATATATTTATTTTTAGGTTGGACGGAAATAAATAAAAGATACTAGAGAGTGAGAACAGGGCAAATTCAATTATTTACTTTTTTCATACCATCCTTTAGCTGTTATAAATACATAATTAAATTAATCAGAATTTGCAATGTAGTGTAAACATGATGAAACATCTTTGGCAACTTTGATGCAATCCAGGCTCTGCAGAAGAGGGAGGAAAGGAGCAGGAAATTGTCTTTCCTAAATCTTATTCTAAAGTCTGCCTGTAGGAGGAGCCTTCACTGTTGAAGTAAAAGAGGCCATGAGAAGAGCTGTGGCACTGTGTCTCCAGTGAGAAATGATAATCATTTGAAAAGCTCAGGTCAAAAGCCACATTTCGTTTGCTTTATTTTTAATTTAAAAGAAACACAATATGTCCTTAATAATGTTTTCATTTCCTGAACATTGCTCACCATTTACAGACTCTGGTCTGAGAATGAGCGAACCACTGTGATTCACCGCCACCACAGTCCACAAAGACAGTCCCTGCAACCCACTATTGCTACTTTAAACCATAACTCCCATAAACTTTATTATAACCTTTTTCAATGCAAAACCCCAAGCTCCATCCAGGTTTAAGGAAGCTCTATCCAAGGATGTGCCTGCCAAGCACACATTGCTTTCCTTTTAGTTTTAGTCTGTCATCAGTGCTCCTTGTGCTGTGTGGGATCCCAGAGATGGGTTCCCATGGTCAGACGTGATCCCCACTGCCCACAGTCATTCCTAATGGATGCCTCCAGTTGGTTTTCAATGAGAGGAAACAACAGGAGAGGCTGTATAGTAAAACTGAAACAGATGTAAAGTCTCCTCCGCTCAGTTAACCCGGTTATTGACTGTCCCCACTTCAGGTAATGAAAGGACACTGTTGACATGTATCATGTCACTCCATTGTCTTTGATGTGTTGTGCAGTCTAGAAACAAAAAAGTGAGTGTAACTAATGAGATAGAGGCCGAACCTGAGGCTAAGATTTTTTTTGTTTATTTCTTCATTTCTCAGGCAGGAATCGGTTTCCTCTCCAAAATCACATGCAAACTGTTACTTCTTCCCCATTTATCAAAAGCAAACCTGATAAAGTGAGTCCCCTACTGTTCATAATGCCTTTAGACACCTTTGCAGCAGGAGACATGCTCATGTACTCCGGAGACACACTGGGGATTGTTGCCCACCTGTAAAACTTGTGGTTTGGCATTTTGCAGAAATAAAATGAAAGTCCATTCAAGTGGAGTCAGTCTAATGACAAATTTCTCAATTCTTACCCTTTGTTGGGCATGTTTTTTTAATCATCCCTCTTATAATGATAAGACCAAACAGGCATGCCACACTGAGTAGCCAGCAGCCTCCACCGCCCTAACGAGACAAATAAATGAATTTAGTGTTGCCACATACCGCTCCTGAAAGCTTATTATCAGGATTATTGTTGAACTGTTATGAATGGGGTACAAGAGAAAAAAAAAGATGTCGGATTGCAAGGGAACATGATTGGCTGATGTTACATATGTCCTTGATTACCTTCCTTCTGCTTTTATTCTAATAAGTGGCATTCTTTGTACTCCCTGGGACAGCTAGAAGACAGTCTGACACACGATGAGAATAAATATTGCATGTGGTAGACATTAAGCTGTCATCCTGGAAAAAAGAAGAGATGGAGAAATCCGTGTGGTGTTCTTCAGCGCTACACTTTGCCTGCTCTTGTCACAATTGTCACATCTTGATGACTCCCCCCTCTCTACCCCAGCCCCCTTATTTTCTCTCGCCCAGTCAGCCGCCATGAATGACAGCATGGATACCCCATATAGAGAATTATTTTGGGTGATGCAGAATGTACTCCTTTGGGTTGAATTACTGATGTTTCCTTTTTTTTTTCCTGAGCCCCCCTCTCCCCCCATAAATAGCCTTGAAAAAGGTTGCAGCTTTGATATTGTTGTCTCAACAAGCATTTTAAAGACAAACCCAGGGCTGCTGGTTTAAGGTTTAAGGTTTCATCTATCGAGCCATTTTATGTCGCAAGATTTAATGGGCGCAGTTATCAAAGAAAGGAAAGTTGTGTTAAAGAGCTTGTTACCAGCACACCCTCAAGGTTTGTTTGAGATTCGATGTGATGATACTCTTAATTAAAGCTGCTCCCATTGTGCGTGCACCATGTTCTGTTTCCTCCAGCCCATGATTGCTTTGAAGATTGAAAGAAGTTGATAATATTGACGATAGTGTGTGTGTGTGTGTGTCTATGTGTCAGATTCTTCCTCCTCCGTTCGCAGAGGCTGATGCGTAATGCCTTTCCATGTAACTGTGGCCACAGGGAGCAAAGAGCGTCTGCACTTTTGTCGCTCAGGAGCTCACCACTGGGAGAATGAAAAGCATCCCACAGAGCCCCCGGCTTCCCAGCCTCAAAAGCCCACATGAGCTTATACCTCTCATTTCTGTTTCCTTTAACAGAGAAAGGAAAAATGGGAGGGGTTAGTTTACGCTGTGTATCCCAACTCCAACACTTGCGACACCTGTGAGTTGGAATCTAACTAAACAGAGAAGACACTGGGTTAATGTCCTCATGAGGTTGAAGCAGCTTAGTTATTCTGAATAGTTCAGGTTCAGGTGCTGGGACCTCCACCTGCGGGTGTGTCAGCGAGGAAGCAGGTAGCGGATTACTCCTTTGGTTTGTCAGCATTCAATTGCTTCTGAAAGGAGAGCTGGAACTGGAGGTGATGGCCCACCTTTTACAGGCTTAAATGGCTCGGCTCTCGTTAATGAGGCCAACCTGTATGAGTGGATGTCAGACACATACCCGGGTCATTCTCTCAGGTAGTAGTCCCTGTACTTTTGAAATTCCCATTGTTTTCCCCTCCTGAGCCGTTTAAGCAGATCAAAGCTCTGACAAGGCCCAAGAAAGCCCCAGGCATGCAGAAACACAGGAATTATCCCCCTCCTCAGGATTCCCACACAAAAAGACAAATAAGCTCCAGAGGGTGGCCCCTGTGGGACATCACTATTCAGAGCCAGTCTGTTGTGGAAGCTCCAATTGTTTTTCTTTTTTGTCTTGTCAATTTGCGGTAAAAAAAAATCATTTAAAATTGATGTAGTGAAAATACAAAAGGGCATCAAAATCTAAAGCTTTGAGGAAATTACATGGCAGCTGTTTCTCTAAATGTGACATAAACATTGTGGTTGAAGGGATGTTGTAATATTGACTTATTTATGCCATTGAATGATAAAATATGTACATTTTGCAGTATTGCATGGATGCCGTTTTTCATACAAAGACCTTAGTTAAGCACTCAAGTCTTTGTCTCTTGATCAAAAGTGAGTTAAGGGACTGATAAAAATCAATCAAATACCTCAATTGGGATTAGCATTATAACTTTTAACTCAGTATTGTAGCATTCTCTAAGTGTTAATGTAAAAAAGATTTTTTTTAATAGTGCACATAGGAAAAAGATTTTTCTCTCTTAGATTTGGTAGTCAATGAGCAAAAGCACAAACATGGCTTGTGCTTTAGCCTTGTTTGAGTCTTCTTGCTGGTGAATGATTAGCAGAAATAATGTCCCTGTCACCCTTAATCACATTAAAACGTGGTTAACATTTAATTTTTCCCACTTGATATGCAAAAATTTCCACTTGATTTGCAGCAAAGGCCATTGGAATTCCATTATAAAAAGAATAAAAATTTCAGGCATCATTTGTTCAGAGAGGGTTATCAAGACCAGAAAGTGCTGAATCTTTCTATTAACAGAGGAGTGAGAGATGGCTCTCAGTGCTGGGACATAATGGGAGACTGACAAGACGCATACGCTTACACACTCCTTACTGATCTTAGTTCACACTTGTAAAAGCTTTTTAACGTGGGCCCACATGGAGGGATATTTTATTCATGGTTTTGTTATTGCATTTCCGTCATCCATATACATTTGTTTTCTTTAAAGATGTTGACATTAAAAGGGAAATGAATGTGTCTTTAAATCAGCATTTTTTTTAAATATCAAGCCTATTTCTTAAGCCACAGAGAGATGAGATCCTATGCATACCTAATTGTGAGTTGGATTGCATCGAAAGCTTTTACTTTCGAAGATACAGTGTCTAAAAGAATGAAACATGGTTTAAATAAGCATTTGCCAAGATTTACACATCATATACATTTTCTCCACAAATAATTGCTGGACACATAAAGACACATTGCAAAGTAGCATCGGGAGGCAACAGTGAAACTGACATAACTGGTTTTGGGAGTTGTGTTGACAGCACATCAAAGCTCTTAATTGACAGTGTATTGTTTCTGGAGTTGAGGGAAGGGGGTGTTTCATGTTCCCTGGGCAAGGTGTTTGTCTGGTCCCATGTCACTCAGTGCAAGGACCCAAAGACCCCCGTGCTCATTTGTGGCTCACATTCTCCGTCTCGGCTTCACATTATTAAAATCATCCCTCAGCCTTCTACCAATAGCCTCTTTGTTACCTCGCTGCCTTGGCTCAGCTCTGTCAAGTCTTCACCAATTACAGTCTCAGGTACAATGGTCTATTCAAAGGATCACAGCCCTTGACTGGTGTGGAGAGAGTGATTTGTGAATCATTATTCAGCCGCCTGTAGAGAACGCAATACCTGAGGAATGCAAATAACGTGCCACCAAACAGACAGCTGTGTGGCTAAAAGTGACAAACTACAGCTGTTATTATCTCCGATTGGATTTTTTCCACTCGTGGCGCACCCTCCGTCTCCTGTGTTTTCAGGCTTTTGGCTTTGACTATTTTTCTGTTTTATTGGTGAGACTTGGGTTACCACCTTATTGTGGTGACACTCAAACATCAGCTCTCCATACACAATGTGAGCAGAAAGGAAAATATTAGGTTATGTGTCTTAATAGATATGCATCTGAATTGAAAGACAAACTTGAACACAAGGCCTTTCAAATAGTTGGGGAAAACATTCAGTCACAGCAAAACTGTGCTCCTCTCATGCCTGTTAGCCTGTCACATGCCTTATATTGATAATCATTAGGTAGGAGCGGTGATCTGGTGCTGCAGGTGATATAGCAGTGACATTGTTATTGGAATAGATGTGGTATTGAGGTGGTTGGGTTCCTCCCATTCTTTGATTCTTATGGGCTTTAAACAGGAAACTAGGATTACACATAATAACAGGGACCCCTTAGAATCAATCCAGCCCAGGAGCCGCCGTGTGAAAATGGATTTGTGTGATGCTGTTCTTTGCAGTCTGTCCAATCCCGGCCTCATAGCTTGTGGTGCTAATCTCATAATTGCCCTAACCCCCTCATATTGTTCTGGCTGAGAGTTACCATTAAGTGTTAGGATATCTTTGTCCTGCAATGTCAGGTGTCCTGCTGGACAGGAAGACAGAGAAAAACTCTGGCAGTTGAGAGATTGAGAAAGACATTTAAGAGCAAGAAACACTAGTTGTAGGTTCCCCTCCCCTCTGGCTTTATGGTGAATGTTTATTTAACACTCAGCAGGTAGATGAATGTCCTCCATTGTAAAACATGAGACTTACCTGCAAAAGCTTAAATTAGTTTTGTAATATAAGCTCCAAAGTGCTTTAATGTAAGCCTTTTAACCCCTATTTTGGGAAGAAGTTTTACATAGGTCCTATTGCTATGAGATGTTGTGAGTCACCTTACTTGTATCTCCAGGCCAGGGTGAGACAGGAAAAACTCCAGACGAAATTTACATTTTCAGTCTAAATCACAACTGTAAACAAGTGGGTAAACATCAAGCTAAAACGAATGAGTCAATTATGTTGTGTTCTTTTTTTCTTTTTCTTACTCTATTTTACTTTTGTGTTTTACATTTGTGTTGGTGGCACCTTTGCATCACATTCAAACAGATCAAGAGGCTCATTGGAAAAGGAAATTTTGTCATTGAGTACTTAAAGTCTTGTCTGATACATGCAGGTAGTGTAGAATATGCCAGCCTGTTTTCTTTTTCAAAGAATTTGCAATCGATAAATACACAATGCTAAATCAGTGGTCGCATTTCTGATACATCGGCCACATTTCTAGTGATGCTTCGTTTTGTAGTTCATAGGATTTTAAACTTTTAATACTTTCACTACCAATGGGTTTTATTTTCATTATGAGTCTATATTTTATGTGAAGGATCCACATTTGTCATTTGAAAAAGAAAATAGATTGTATGTAACAAAAAAAGCTTGAAACAAAACATTAAAAGGTCCCTGCAATGAGCTTTTTCTGGCTGCTGTATTCCGTCAGGTTGGTGAAAATCAAGGAGTGGGTGGACAGTCATGACCCCGGAGCCTTGGTCATCCCCTTCAGCGGCAACCTGGAGAGCAAGCTGCAAGACAGCAGTGACGAGGAGAGGCAGAAGTACTGCACGGAGCACAAGACGCAGAGGTTAATTAGCATTCTGTCGCCCTACACTTTATCATCAGCTGTGTCCTCCATGCACTCCTTTAATTGCATGTGCTGATAGAATAATAAATGGCAGAGTAATTACCATTATAAAGCAAAGGATCCCTCTTCTTACTGAACAACTCAGTCAAAGGGTTTTCCTCTAAATTAAGTTTTTAACTGTCATCTGTCATCTGTAGGTATAATTATAACTTGAGCATTTTGGGTTTATTGTTCTCGTGTGAAAACCTCTATGGAGAGAAAAATTGTGACAGCAGATTTTTTTCCCCCTCTCTCAGCACAGAACGAGGCATTGGGTTGAATTCTTAAAAATGTGAAATGAGTCTACAAGCACTCTAATTAATCATCGAAACCATTGGAGAGTTGAATGTCTTATGTGAAACGAAGTGACCCATCTTATTCTCTTAATGAGTTTATGTTGGAATGAATGGCATCCTGCTACTGAGGTGAACTTTGTGCTGCCGTCAGTGGCAATAAACAATACGAAAACAGTTCAGAATGTTTGATTCAGGAAGGGATTTGTCTCCTCCAGCGCCCTGAGCAAGATCATCAAGGCAGGCTACGCAGTCCTGCAGCTGGAGTACTTCTTCACCACCGGCCCAGATGAGGTCCGTGCCTGGACCATTCGGGTAAGAGCCAGGTTCAACTGCTTTCTGTGCACACGCCCGTGTGAGTGTGTGTATCAAATGCACACCCAAACAAATGCCCTGACTGTCCCATGTTCCACCCTGCTGGCACCCGCGCTGATATCACACACTTTCAACTTTGTCATGGTTGTGCTTTAGCTAGTCATTACAGGCCAAGGATAACTTCAATTACTGGTGAGCTGCTGAACGGTGAAAGTGGGGGCCACATTGATTGAGAGGGGCAACAATTGATTTTGCCCATTACGTCCATGAGAATGTTTCCATCCTGTGCAGATCTGCCTGCACTCCTCCTGCCGCTGGAGATAAGGAGCCGGCGCATTGTGCCTGCCTAATCTGTGTGACGGAGGTTGTCTGTGCCAAAATTGATGTCGCTTTTCATTCGACTGTTTGTGGGCCTTGCTGGGGGCTCCTCCTCCCTGTGTGTCTCAGTTTACTGAGCCCAGCCCGCCAAGAGCTTTGTGCAATGGGATCACAGGATTTACATCAGTACAGATGTTGGCTTTGCATGTTAGTATTGTGCCTTGTTTTTCTTTTTATTTCTTCAGGCTGATAAAGCTGCAGATATAATAAGATGTGGGACTGAGTTCTATTTATATAAATGAATGTTTGGAGTTTGAAGTAACTTCAGATTTTTTTTTTTTAACGTGACTGTTGTCATTTGCAGTCGTGTCCATTCTTTCAAGTAATTTGAAATCAGATTGTTACAATACAGAATGCTTTCAATCCCACAAATGTGACATATCCCTTTGAGGATGGCAGCACATTTTTCAAAATGCATTGCAATTTTCTAAAATGGCATCTATTCAAAGAACTTGTCACCAAGCAGATCATTATTGTTTTGTTCCCTGAATCTGAAGTGTCTTCACTGTTCACATTTCAGTATATTCAAAATCTTTAAATAGGCTGCTATGAATTCTGTTTATTCGGAGGCAGTAATCATAGAAAACACTGCCTGGGATGTAAACTTAAATGTTTACATTACTTGTTGGCTTGTAGGATTTGCACAAAATGAGGAAATAATGCAATGCATCTTTATTGAAACTTGTAACTTTTAGTTTATTGTGTTTTTCCTATTTACATGAACAGGTAATGATTTTTAATAATCCGTCTGAATTGTTGTTTTGGTTTGTTAGTAAAGAAATAATCTGGAAAAAAGAAGTTGCATGATGTTGATAAATAATCAATATTTATCCAAGCTAATATCTCAAAGTAAACATCACAATTGATCAGTATGCACATATAATTTTCTGTAATTTGTTTTACATTAGTTATATTTGAGAAGTTATATTTTGAAAAAAACAAAAAAGAACTGACTATTCAACACTGGCTAAGAAATACTATAATAGTTCTGCATAGAGTCTTTGTAGCATTGTAGGACAACTAAAGTTGTCACTGGAACAGATTGATCATTTACAGTGTTTTTTCGTTGTGTGTGTGTATGTCTTAAAATGTGTCACCTATGTTCTACAACCAAGACACAAATATCAATTTCTGTTTTGTAGGTATTAGTAATGATATTGAAGACTTTTATTTCACTGATAGGATTAATTGCTCATTTCTGTCCATTTAGTGCACTAATTTCAGCAACCCTGCTGCGAAACAGTACCTGCTCAGGCCAAAGGAGCTGACCAGTCAGAGCAAAGTGCTGCTTTTCAGTGGGGGGTTCTCTCTGCCCCCAGACAAAATACTACTTCAGTAGTCATTTCATAGTTGCCTTTATTTAATTGAGCCAGTAATCAAGATCATTTGTTTTATGAAGATGTTGAATAGCTGTTGTATTCACATATCACATATTAACAATGTAGACAACATGTGAAAACATATTTACAGTCTTAACAAAAATAAGATAGAATTGCCTCTGAAAAAATATAAAAGACGTCTATCTATCTACCTTGTTGAAGATAAAATGTGATCAAAACAATTAATAAAAGCAAAAATTTAAAATCATGTCCCAGAGTTGACTTTGAAGGATAGGAGGCTTAAATAGCTCCTGTATTTATCTGTCACTGATGAAAAAATAAAAAATTCTACTGTGTAACATGACATGAATACCCAATTTTAAATATCATCCACCTACATATGACTCACCAGATATTACAACACATTACTGCACCACGTTGAGACTGAATAAACCCATCTGAAAAAGTTTGAATGCAACTTTTGTGAGAAACCTTTACTCTTTAGAGTCTTGAGGAGAACACAGGGATCTCTGTTTTCTCCTTTTTCAAACAGAACACATTAGGTTACAGTCAGATGACATCACCAGTTTTAAGCACACACTTGTCTCATTATGACTGATGTCCTCACAATTTCCAGAAAAGTCCCAAAAACACTTCAAAGGCATCCTCAAAAACAGGTTTTGTCCTCTTCACCATAAGTGATTACAGGCAGCCTTGATTGTGTGTGAGGGGTATTTAGTCAGGTAAGCATCAGTGAGTAACTACATTAAGCCAATACATCTTGCATTGTAAAAACTACACTCAGTAATGTCGTGTTCCTAAGCCCTTTAACATGCTTTATTAGGCAGCCTCGAGGTGACCATTATCTATCAGCCTGCTCTGCATAGCTCTTAACTAGGACAATGTGGATCTCTTGTAATGTGCCACATGAAAAAAAAATTCCCCCCTTAATCTATTTTTTCTCTAGATAGACAAACCTTGATGCTGATTAATGGTAGTAAAACTCACAAGTACTCCGTCAATGAAATTGCAAATAGATGGTAATGTATGAGAGTCATTAAATACGCATCATTCTTGTGGCATGAAATATGTTGACCCCAATCTGATTATATACATAATTAAAACTGCTCAACAGCTCCTGAGCACGGAGCTGCGGAGCAGAGAAAGCATGAGCAGGTTTACAGGCAGGAGTCAGAATGATACAGAGCAGCCATGTCACTTATTTGGATTGTTTGTTTTTTCAGTGCAGCATATAAATTGCACATTTTTTCAATTAGCAGTTTTGTTGATTATTTGATCATCATTAGAGATATTCAAGGTAGATTTAGGTTAAAAAAAACAAACAAAGAAAATATGTTTTTTTTAAGTTGCAACAATGTTTCTTTTAAAGGACAAATAACCATTTAAAGACACTTTAAATCCAGCAGTTTGCAAAACTAAATCTACCACAGTGTGATATCACCAATGGTTAAAAATCATTTGAATGACCAAACTGTGGAGTGTCACCACAGTGAGGCCTGATGTAGTGTCTGTACCACCCTGGCCTCTCATTGCAACACTGGGTCTTCTTGCTGTCATGACCAGAGAGCTGAGCAGCGACCCACAATGAGGCAAGATTGCTTGGACAGAAATCAATACCCCCACAGAAAGGGAATCAGAAGGCATTGATAGCAGCGCAGGGTCCTTATCGGTATCCAGGCTGCCCTAGCAGGGCACAGCTGAGTGGAAAGCTATCCAGAAATCAGAACTGAGGCAAGAATACCCCCGACTGAAAAACACCCCCCAGAGCGATCACAGCACTATCACCCTATCAAACACCATGTCGCTCGCATGCTGTAATCCATCTTCTCCAAAACAATTCATTTGTCCTCTGCTTTCCTTCCTTGTGACAGAAAGGAACTAAGGCTCCACAGGCTGCGGGGAAGATCCACACGGACTTTGAGAAGGGCTTCATTATGGCAGAAGTAATGAAATTCCAGGATTTTAAAGAGGAAGGCAGTGAGAACGCTGTCAAGGTGAGCAGTCAGAGTACTCGAGGAGATGAGGGAAAGTCTCCTGTGATCAGTAGAGCTGACAGTCGCCACAAAGCTCCTACTGAAAACTGCTCTTCACCTTTACTCAGGGGAAGAAATTACTGCACACACTCCGGCACCACTCCTGACAAGCCAGCTGATTCTGGCTCTAAACACTGCCATTGTGCTCCAGCTGTGCATATCTTTATCACAATGTGTCTTAACTGGCTGATGGCAGTGCTTGCTTGTGGCTCTTGCACAGTTGCTCAGAAAAAGCACTTCTTCACCTCACCGGGTATTTATCAGATCTATACAGTGCACTGTTAGCTTAGAGCTCTACGCGGCCAAGTCCCCAAGTCACTACAGGCGCGTGACAGTGATATAAAGCGGCGAGTTAAACAAAGTGTGAAATTCCTTAAATAAGGACTACTTCATGGCTGGGTAGCGCAGAAATATGACTTTCATATCTTATTTTTATGATGGCCTGTGTTTATTTTTGACCTTTTAACTGTTCCATGGGTTGTTCATGTGCCAGCTTCTGTATAACGTAATAGCTGATTCCATGCTGAAATTGTGAAGACAGCAAGGCTCCAAATGCACTCAAAACACTGCAAAATGCATCAATGTTCTGTCCATTCCTCCTCTGAAGTTAGATTAATTCATTTTTTAATCCACAGAACCAAATTGGACATCTGCCATTTTACAATGTAGCATGCTTTTTTTGTTGCTCGTAATACTTACATTTCTGTGAGAGGAAACATTTCGTTTGAATTCTCTGTCAAATCAGATCAGAGCAAGTCGAAGCAGAAGTGACTAACTTTGCTCTGTGTGACCCATGTGAGCGGTCGCAGTAAGCCACATTGTTGACATCTCCCTATCACTGCCATCAACTTCATGTACCCACTTACAGACTCAACTAATGTAATTATGGTGGCACAAAGGTCCCATCGGGACCAGTGTGGAGTTGAAGCACTAGAAAACATTTAAACCTCCTTACAATTCAAATCCTTTTTTTTTTCTTTTTACCCCTAAATATTTTTTATTCAGTGCACCAGCATTGTATTGTCCGCACACTTCATAAGATGCTAATGTGGAGTAAAATCTGCCACTCTCAGGAGGTTTCACAATTGTTATCTGAGGTTGAGATCAGAGTGTCAGGTCCTTACTGCATGCTCACTTACTAATCCCTTTTGGAGCCTCAGAAGAACATGGAGCATTTCTGACTGTTGCATTAAGTCCATGCTATTTATTGCCAGTTGTGGGAATAGGCTGCCTGAATAGGGCCAGTGTGCGGGGAAATCACATTATTAGTAATCATATCTGCTTAAGCCAAGCTTGCTGCTCCAGATGGCTGCTTTCAAGTGCAAATGAACCAGTTAGACGTGTCTGGTTTAATACATACTCAGGAATCACAAATAGCCATTGATTTTTTTCCCCATGTCTCCCTCTCCATCCAGTGTTTCTGGTGGTATTGAGCTCGGATTAAATGGTCTCCTGAGCCTTTAAAGGGACATTGATTCTTCTAATTAATTGTGCACTGTGCAGAACCAGAATGCATAAACCTGTCTGTATTAGCACTTCAAGTCAATTATTTTGAGTTTGCCGGGAAGAACAAACACTTACAGTACACAAAAGAAATGTTAGAACTTATTTAGTTTCCTTGAGAAGTTTCATACTGCTATAATCAAAGACTTATTAACATTTTGCGCTTGTGCACATGAAACTGAATTGGACAGAAGAGAGGATTACACACTCAGTAGGACTTCAGGCACCCCATGGGCAAAACATGCATGTAATTGTGTGAGTTTATGTGTGTGTGCGTAAATGAACACAAGGACAATATTTGTAAGTGCAATAATAGCTTCCTAGTTATATAGTTAATAGTTAGATGGTCAATACATTAATATATAATTATATATTTATATTCTGTTTTATTCATAAGTTAATTGCTCAAGTTTCAATTGGCTACAATGTACACCGTAAATTAATTTGTGTTCGCCTTTGTTTTGATTCAGCTCTTTTGTAATCTTACAGGCAGCTGGGAAATATAGACAACAGGGACGGAACTACATCGTTGAAGACGGAGACATCATTTTTTTCAAATTCAATGCACCAAATGCCCCAAAGAAGAAGTGACACAAATATAATATCTGTGTTTACATCATCATTACGTTTTTTCTTTCTTTTTCTCTCACTTCTCTTTAGGGAAGTGATGGGGCGGGGGCCATTTCTAACTTTATTTTCCTGTCCTGTTGGATCGAATCGCTCCCCATATGCCAAAACACAGGTTTAGTAAACTCTGACAGCTTCTCTATTTAAGATCAGGATCGGCCCCCACTCCAAATTGTAGCAGCATTTGAAGGAGCATAATACTCTCCAGATACTTCATTAATCTCCATCACGGGTGCCAGCCCTGACACAGCTGACAGTGGGGACAATGCCACCTGCTCTTCTCCCCCTTCTGCAGATAATACGTGTTTTACAGTAGGCCAGATGTCTACACTCAATAAAACATTTGACAAAACCAGTCGGTGTGTGTTTTGGGATGTCTGTATTGAGTGGGGAGCTGCATGGGGATGGTGATAGCGCTCCTGCCGACCGCTGATTAGAGAATTAAAAGACACAGCTGACGTTGACTGTAGTATACAGAGGACAATTACAATTAAATCTGTTAAGTGATGCTGATTTTGGAAGGGCACATGTGGGATGCAGTCGTCTTTGCCAAAGCAAATGGTCACTCTGATTATTTCTACCTGCCATTCTCATTTTTTATCACATTATTGAATATCTTTCCCCATACTGGCCCACAAGTACTTCTCTACAATCCTTGAATAGTAACAGGATGGTGTGTTTGATATCTTTATAGTTTTTTACACCTATCCCTAAACAATGAGGCCAAACATATATCGACAAAATAAATAACAGAAGCTTTCATCTAAACCATATTTTCTCCAAAAAGTCCATATTTAAGGATATTCAGTATAGCACGAAAATAGAAGTTGACACAATCCACAAGTATGACCAGAAAACGATTCCTGTTGTCTGAAGTAGTGTTTTTCTCGCCCCTATACTTTGTGTGTAAGTGTTTGTGAAGCATTTATGCTGATGGAATCGTACGGCTGCAGCCACGGTGCTCCGGAGTAAGATTGTGTTCTCGGTGGGAGCCCGGACAAAAGAGCTGTAGATCAGCGGTGCTTCACTGAATATCTTGTAACTATTAAGACTGCAGAGAAAAAAATGGCCGTTTTATAGGAACAACAAGACTGAATAAAAAATGGACATTTTCCAGGCAGAATATTGTGTGAGAAGTTTGGGGAATTATGTTTTATGGACCCTGTGCAAGCATTAGAAAGCATAGGGCTTGCCATTGAAATGAGGCGGATTATAGTCTTTATGGTTTGAGATCCATGGTAAAATATATCACAGTGTTTATTGTGGTGATTTGGAAACAATAACAGATGACAACATGTGTATCATATAGCATCAGGCTTCTTCGGCTTTTCATCCACCACTCATTCTATTCACTAAAATTTCCTACAAAAGACAAAGGAAGAACTAACACTTAGAGCTTTCATATACTTTAAATACTTCTACAACGGACATTAGCGGACTGTTTTATAAGCAAAACCATGCGGATCCTCTGGGGAGTACAATGGGGTCTTGAGACAAAAGTGTTTTTGCATTCCTCTCAGGGTGGTGGTGGCAGCGTTGGCCAACCTAAACCCCACACAGAAGATCATTCATTTGCTGTAGTTTTGAGGCTCGAGGATTGATGAGTTCTTCCCAGTGGTCTGGGTTGTAGAGAATTTTGTTTTTCATAAAGAGCCAATAAATCCTTTCAGGCCAAGTAATAAAGCTATTTAGAATCACAACACCATATATGAGAAGTCTCTCATTCTGTTAGTACAACCTCAACATGCTGTTTCAGGGTTTGATACCGATAATTTTGCTGTCACAGGAAAGGCAAGAATTAATGAATTATGCTCTAATTGGGTGTCTTCTCTGCAATGACGTCATGGAGTGCATTTATACATATACTTCTAATGTATTGCATGTGTAAACATAACACCACTGTGAAAACAGATATACATTTAGTGTTTTGCAGCCATTGTCGCGATGGAAGTGGACAGTAAAAGTTGCCTGCAAGGACTCATAAAATGAGACCAGAAATGTGACAAAAGTTCTGGAGAAATCTTCTGTCAGCACCATCAATCAAGTGGTGCCACTCTGCTCTGAGGCAAACCACAGTGGCATCAAACCAAGATGAGCAGAGAGTGGAAAGCTGGCTTTAAAACACACACCCAACAAAACAGACCATGGCCTGCTGTTGTAAATCACACACTCACTAAAACCTTTGAAGAATTTACAGAAAAAAGAAAGTATGATTTATAACAAATAAACATGTGGCAATTTTCTGAGCTGTAACTATGCACAGGGGATAGTGTTAGGAAAATCAATGGTTATTTCTAACATATTGTATATTATTATCATAGAGAGGAAGTTATCTTTATTTTGGAAAACAATAAAAGAGTTACCATGTTGTAATTGTTGTCACTTTATGTGTTGAACATAGAATGGACACTGAAAATATACGGAACCAAGATTTGACTAAAATAACCGTTACTGTTTACTTTTGAGGGTTCATGCAACAATTTCCTCTAAGTGGAGTTGCACTACAATGATACATGATTGATTCTACTCTGGTTTATTGCCGTCAGTGTCAAAAGGATGACACAATGTCAGTACAATGCTAAGCAAAGAGAATGCAATGAACAGCTAAGAGTAAACTTGCATACGGGGGCTTGAGTCTAACCCTGTTCATTTTTTCTCTGTTATTATTCTTAATTAAAACTGCATGTGATGTGCACAATAAAATGAACAATTAAACGTGCTTTACAGAGAAAAAATAAATTGTCATCTCATTCTCTTTGTCAGTATGACCAAATGTTAAACCATTTAATTTAATTAAATACTCATATTCAACTAACACTTTGTTGTAGAAATCTTGAAAACTACTTTAATTCAGACCAAAACTATTAGCTATTAGGTTTTTTAGTGTCCTATTTCTGAACATTTTCTTGCATGCAATATTTTTAAGTTTTCCATCTTTTGTACCATGAGAAGTGCCCAGAAGCGGACTTCCTTCTATATTTCAACATACTGTGATAATAAATGGGATAGAATACACTACCATAAGAAACTTTAACTTAGAAACACATAGCAACTGTGTTCAAACTCTAATATGACCATGTGTCTTGTATGATTGTTGCTTCTTCTCTAAGCCAAAACAAGGAAACATGCAATTGTTTCTTTTTCATGTGTCTCTGCGTTCTCTCTTATATATATTTGCTATTCTGCCCACGCGTCTTCATGCTGCACCAGTTTCAATTTTCTGTCTCAGGTCCCATTTACGGTGCCTCCTGTAGGGCAGTTTCTCTCTGTAGGGTCACTGTCTTGGACTGGCCTTCAAGAAAACAACTGTCAATATGTTAATATGACACACTCTGAGCCATTGTGGACTCACTCAGTTGTCTCTTTTATTTGTGCTACTGAGGTCATCTCTTCTGATATGAAGAGAAACATCTTTATGTTAAATATAATTTTTCTAAAATATTATAGACAGACAGACAGACAGACAGACAGACAGACAGACAGACAGACAGACAGACAGACAGACAGACAGACAGACAGACAGACAGACAGACAGACAGACAGA